AGCTTTTCCCAGCAGAAGGGTGAGACTGGTTGCCAGGCAGGCACAGACCACACTGCCTACTGGACTAAGTATCTATTTCATTTATTTATGTATTACTATTATTACTATTATTTTTGAGACTGAGTCTCGCTTTGTCGCCCAGGCTGGAGTGCAGTGGCACGATTACTATTATTATTTTTTGAGACAGAGTCTCCCTCTGTCAATAGAGCTGGAGTTCAGTGGCACAATCTTGGCACACTGCAACCTCTGCCTCCCAAGTTCAAGTGATTCTTGTGCCTCAGCCTCCCGAGTAGCTGGGATTACAGGCACGTGCCACCACACTTGGCTAATTTTTGTATTTTCAGTAGAGACAAGGTTTCACCACATTGGCCAGGCTGGTCTCAAACTCCTGACCTCAAGTGATCCACCTACCTCGGCCTCCCAAAGTGCTGGGATTACAGGCATGAGCCACTGCACCCGGCCTGGATTAATTGTCTGGATAGAGGTCAGGTAATTCATGGACGACCAGGTAAGACAGACAGAAGCATGCCACCTGGTGAGTACATGGGGATGGGGAACGAGATCTGTGCTGGGTCCAGGCAGCACCAAGGCCATTGAGAATTTTAAGGAGGCTGGGATCTGCACCCCTGGCCAAGAGGGTATGTAGTAGATTAATTGCAAAAATGGTCCTGATCCTCCATCTATCCCTGAATCCACAGCCTGTGTGGAGTGGCTTTGTGACATCTCTCAGCAGAGCCTGTTTCCCTTCCCCTAGAATCAGCTGGCCTTGTCATTTGGATGGACAGCAGATTGTGGCAGAAGGCACAGTGTACCAGCTCTGAGCCTCAGCCTCAAGCCATCTTCTGTGCCTTTGCTTGTTCATGCTCTTTGACTCCTGGTTCCCTCATAAAAAGAATCCTGGCGATTTGGGTGCAAAATGAGAGACCCCACAGGGCTCTACCAGCTTTTCCAGCCAAAGGCCCTAGACATAAGATTGCCTGGCCTGATTCCCAAAGCTGCTTCACTGACTCATAGCTGACTAAGGATGCAGAGCCTAGCTCAGATCAGAACTGGGACCCAGAGACTTCCGAGTAGGAAGTGATTGCTGTTTGAAGCCAATGAGTTTTGGGACAGTTTGTTATGCACTATTGTTGTAGCAAACAGAAAACCAATACAAGGCATGTTAGGGAGGAAACCCAGCTGGTGCTTGGCCTGCCACACTGTGCAACCAAGAGGTTAGGACTCCTGGAATGGACACGTGTTTCTAACTTGCAGGAAAATGCCATGTGGGCTAACCAGGCCTGGAGATCACGCCTGTTGCAGTCTATAATTTCTACAGATCTCACGTAAGGTGTTTTGTTTTGTTTTGTTTTGTTTTTTCAGATGGAGTCTCACTCTGTTGCTCAGGCTGGAGTGTAGTGGCAGGATCTTGGCTCACTGCAACCCCCGCCCCCTGGATTCAAGCAATTCTTCTGCCTCAGCCTCCCAAGTAACTGGGAATACAGGTGCGTGCCACCACACCTGGCTAATTTTTGGTATTTTTAGCAGAGACGGGGCTTCACTGTGTCGGCCAGGCTGGTCTTGAACTCCTGACCTCAGGTGATCCGCCTGCCTCGGCCTCCCAAAGTGGTGGAATTACAGGCATGAGCCACCGCGCCCAGACTGCAGAGGTTTTAACTGACCTCCTGACATGTTTCCCAGAGACACAGGCACTGGGAACTTTTGGAAACGATTCCACTTGAGCTGCTAGGGAGAAATGTATCCCACTAGCCACATCCCCCTTGCAGTATATATTTTGGTTTTGACTTTTTTGTATGGTAGTTGTGTGCAAGGAACAAAAAAGCAAAGATGGCTTCCAAGAGGGGCCTAGGGGAGACTGGGAAGAATGGAACAGGTCGCCAGTACTGCCCAGGTGCAATGCAAGCCATTTGATTGCAGTGGGAGAAAAAGAATCCAAGAGACAGGATTAAAGCCCATTTCAGACTTTTCCAAAAAAAAAAAAAAAAAAGAAAGGTGCAATGAGGGAAGCTGTCTGATGCAAGGATCTGCCAATCGGATAATTAAAAAAAGGTGAAACAGTTCACACACCCTCCCTCCCTGCCCACCACGCCACCTGCTCCTGCTCCTGGTACCCAGGTACCTCCTGCTGTATGCCTAGGCACATGGAAAATAACCATTTGGGTCCCAAACACATCCCAGATTGTGTCATCTGCCCCCAAACCTGCCCTGGTCTCGTGACTTGCTCCAGGGAACATCACCATCTGTCCAGGTGAGAAGTCTGGCAGTCGGCCACCAGATCCTGCTCACCTCCTGCCTCAACACCTCCCCATTCTGTATGCTCTACCTTGACTACGCCTATTCCACTCCCAGGCTCCCCACTTCCAACTGGGCCACTTCTACACAGGTTCGGGTTTGTCCACTGCATGAAACCTCAATTCTGCAGCCTGACATAGGAGGTCTTCCTCCTACAGTCCTTCCTTCCCTGCATCTCTCCCAGGCCTCTCTCTCCTGTGTCTCTGAAGCCAGCTTCCAAGGCCCAGGCTGGGCGTGCCCATCCCCAGGGCCCCTCTACGTTGCTTTCCACCCTCTCCCGTCTCGCGCCCACCTGCAGGGTCATGCTCAAGGGTGTCGGCCTCCTCGCAGGGACCCGCTAGGAGCAGGATCAGAAAAAAGGTCCACATGTCCCAGGAATGTGGCCACTTTGTAATCCACTCTCTGGGTGTCCCTGACAGCCCAGGACCGAGGCGGGAAGTGGGCCCAGGAAGCCAACGGAGCATGGTCCTCCAGGCGCAGGTACACTCAGCACCCGCTCCTAGGGCATCTGGCTCCAGGGCTGGGGGTAGGAACAAGGGTTGGCAGAGGAGGGCCCGGCCACAGCTCGGCGGCTGAGGTAGCTGCAGGAGAGGCTGGCGGTGTGCTCGGAGCCTAGGGCGTAGTGGCCCTGGACCTCAGCAGTGTCTGGGCTGCCCTCTTGGCCTCCATCTCCCTGCTCAGGCCGCAGAGGATGCGGTGTGGCCACTGTCACCAGGCCAGGGGTGAAACCATCCCGGAGCTGCGCGGGCCCTCCCCGGCCTGCAGGTCACTCAGCGCTCGCTGGGGAGGGGGAACACAGAGGTAGGGGTGGTCAGTGGTCCCAGGAACCTGTGACGCCGTCCCTGTCTCTTCCCACACTAGACAGCCAGCACTGAGGCTGCAACCCACCCCACCAGGGGATTAGGGGGATGTGTCTCTCACGGGGGCCCCTTTCCCAGCCCTGGCTTCACGGAGGATCCCTTCATTTGGCCTCTGGTCCCCACCTCTCCAAAAGGGCCCCTCAGGTCTCCACCGGGGCTCACCTCGAATTTGCTCATGAACTCTGCAAAGATGCCGAAGAAAGCCTCAGAGGTGGTGGCCTTGGAATCCTCCCCGAAGAAGGCCAGCGCCTTGCCCAGCTCCTCCATGGCCTCGCGCTGCAGCCCGTCCAGCGCCCGAAGCGCCGGCTGGGCCGTCTCCAGGAAGGACTGACAGGCCTCAGTTAAGGAAACAGCCAGTCCGCTGATGCCCCCAGGGTCTCAAGTGGTGGCCCCAGACAGACAGGTCCCCTAGCAGCCCTATTCCCGGTTGGCCTGAGTCCTTCCAAGGGCCAGGTCCTGTGTCCAACAGGGAACCGGGTTCTGTTAAGGGACTCCAGTCTCACTGGCCACTAAGCTCATCCGGGAACTGGCCACAGCCAGTGCGGCCTTAGGTCATTCACCCCTGTTCTCTCTGCAGGGCCAGGCCCTGGGTCTCTGATCAGAGGCTTCCACTGCCACCTTCTTCCCCAACCAGCCATTTACAGTAGGCCCCTCTGTCACTCTCTAGGCCTTACTTTTTCTTTTTTTGAGACAGGGTCTTATTCTGTTGCTCAGGCTGGAGTGCAGTGGTGTGATCACAGCTCACAGGTCATTCCAGCGTCTACCTCCCAGGCTCAAGTGATCCTCCCACCTTAGCCTCCCAAGTAGCTGGGACCAGAGGCTCACACCATCACACCCAGCTAATTTTTTGATTTTTAAAATAGAGATAGGGTCTATATTGTCTAGGGTGGTCTCAAACTCCTGGGCTCAAGTGATCCTCCCACCTTGGCCTCCCAGAGTGCTGGGATTATAGGTGTGTGCCACTGCACCAGGCCTTAGGCCTTACTCTGTTTTCTAGAGCATTTGTCATGATCTGAAATTGTTCATAAGTTCATTTCCTACCGCCTAAGTGAAAGCTCGCTCCCTCCTTGCACCTCCAGGGCTTAGAATAGCATCTGATACATGCAAAAAGATTCGGTGGTTGAATTGCTATCATGTTTTCAGCACTTAAAACGGTGCCAAGCTTTGTTCCAAGCTTGTTGAATCATCATTTAACACCTCTATGAGGTAGATAATCTCTATTTCACATGCGAACAAATTAAAGCACAGAAGACTTTAGCAACTAGTCCAAGATCACACAGCAAGCACTGTGGTACCTGAGCCACGGTTGAACCCACCAGGGTCATATCAATTAATGACCACTGTGGTGGCAGTTCTCATGACCCCTCTTTTTCCTGATGAGAAAACTGGGCTCAGAGACGGTAAGCGACTTGCCCATAGTCCCACAGCAGGTAAGCAAATGAGTCAGGATTTGGGCCTATGCCTGTCTGATATGCCAGGTCAATTTCCTTTGCAGAGGCTGCCTTTAATTGATTAAT